AGTTAACTAAAACATATTTTAAAAATGTGGCTAAAAATAGCCAAAAATCATAGAGAATCACACAGTTGGCTTGGGGATAGACAAAGATTAGCAATAAATAATGCAACAATAGTTGAAAGTCTTAATAGATTTTAAACTAACTAAGGATAACTAAGGAAATACTATACAGATAGTTGTACACTAGTATAAACTCACCTTGTTCAGAGAAACATGTCCTGTGCTGAGCATATACTTTTTTACATAGAAAACATATATTACAATATACAGAAAATGCAATTTATTCATTTTAAACATCTAATTATTTAAAGCTATAATCAATAAAAATAACTCAACAATCGCTAAAAGACCTAAAAGAAAAATGAACTAAAGGAAAATTAAAGCTAAAAGAGAATTAATCTGACGATAACAAAATAATATTTTTGGTTGAAGGCAGTAAAGTTAAAAAAGAAAAAACAGTAGTAATAATAGTCTGCTCTGATTTTGTTCAGTGAAACATGTTCCGTTACAGGACGGGGCTTTCTTCAGTCCAGTCTTCCTCTGATACAGAGAGACCGTAGTACGTTACTGTACTGTAAATCACATTATACGATTCTCCTCCGCAGCTTTTTATGATGAACTTCCTTTATGATCAATGACTGCACTGCCTTTATGTCATTATTTGGTTTAATATCAGGAGTCTCGCACATTTATTTGTCAGCTAAGGTGAAGGGAAAGGTTTACAGGACGGGGGGGAGCCCAGCCATGATCTATGGTTTACAGACGGTAGCAATAGGCAGAAGACAGGAGGTGGAGCTGGAGGTGACAGAGTTAAAGATGCTAAGATTCTCTTTAGGAGTGACAAGAATGGACAGAATCAGGAATGAGGTCATTAGAGGGACAACACAGACAGGAAGGTTTGGAGAAAAAGACAGAGAAGCCAGATTGAGATGGTTTGGACATGTGCAGAGGAGGGACAGTGGATACATTGGTAGAAGAATGTTAGAGATGGAGCTACCAGGTAGGAGAAAGAGAGGAAGGTCAAAGAGGAGATATATGGATGCAGTGAGGGAGGACATGCAGATAGTTGGAGTCAGAGTAGAAGATACAGAGAACAGGGAGAGATGGAAATCAATGATTTGTCGTAGCAACTCCTAAAAAAAGTTGAAAAATTTATTTTCAAAATTTTCAAAAAAAAAATTTCAAAAATTTTTTTTCAAGAAAACTGTTTTTTTTAAGAAAAATACTTTTTTTTTTATTTTTTCAAAAAAAAAATAATTTCAAAAACATTTTTCAAAAAAAAATTTCAAAAACATTTTTGAAATTTTTCAAGAAAAAAATTTCTAAATAAAAAAAATTTCAAAAAAAAATGTTTCAAAAAAACATCTTTCAAAAAAAATGTTTAAAAAAAATTTCTTTCAAAAAAAAATTTCAAAATTTTTCAAAAATTTTTTTTTCAAAATTTTTCAAAACAAATTTCAAGAAAAAATTTTCAAAAACATAATTTCAAAAAAAAAAAA